GTGTGCGTGTGCTTTTAGCTCGTGGTCAAACGGGACAGTGGTCAATTGCAACGTGGTCAATCGGGACCGTGGTTAATTGCAACGTGGTCGATCGGGATCGTGGTCAATTGCAACGTGGCCAATCGGGACCGTGGTCAAGTGCAACGTGGCCAATCGGGACCGTGGTCAATTGCAACGTGGCCAATCGGGACCGTGGTTCGGGCCGGTGTGTTCGTGCGCGGCTCGGTTCGCTCGGACGCGGCGCGGTACGGCGGTTCAGTGCGGGCGGCGCAGGCGTGATACGTTCGGTGTCGGCGCGGTATACTGTCTGCTTGTCGGTGACAGCTCGTGCTCGCGGTTAGGTTAGGTTAGGTTAGGTGTCGAGCCACTCAGCACATGGCGAGGATTATAAGCTTCGCTCAGCTCGCGATAGCCTACGGAGAGGATGGCCACTCAGCGCGTGGCTCGGATCGGCAGGGATCTCCCGCTCAACTCGCGGTTCTCGGGCAGGCGCTCAGCACGCGCCAGGATCATAGGCGGGTCGGTTTCTCGCTTAACTCGCTCAAGTTCGGAAGCGGCTCGGACTCAGCACGTCGTCGCCGTGGGTAGACCTGTTCAGCTCACAGGTCGGGATCTGGTGCTCTCGGTGGATTTTCGCCGGCTTATATACCCGTTGGTTGTAGGTGCGGGACGGAGTGGTGCCGGGGAACTTGTGCGCGGTGGGGGAAAGTGCTTTGTTGTTAACGGCACGTTACAAGCTGCTTGCCATTCTTTCTCAAATTTTCATCCTTTGTGACGAAGAAAAAATGAACTTTTTCAGGGTTTGAATTATAACCTGACGTACAGCCGAGCGCAATACAACGTGGCATCCTTTAAATAAATATAAAACAAAAATTATTTAGACACTAACTAACACCTTATCACGGCTCTTAGGCTTTCTATTCCTTTAAATTTATTATATAAAAGAAAATAACTTATTAGTTAAATATTTCGCTCTTAAAAACGTTAAAAACTTTATCACTTTTAACCTATCTAACCTCTAACGAAACGTGTAATCAGCGTGCTTCGCATGGTAACGGTGGTAACTATTGCCAGCGCCACGTAGCGGATTGGCTTCATTAAGTGGACACACTGCTATAGGCACAATATCATGAAAGTGTCAGGGGGCTGCATGAGACCATCAAAATCGAGTGGACGTAACGATTCCGAGAAGCGAAGACTCGTCGAGGAGCTGCATGCTCCGGCGAGAAAGAATTTTCCCCGGAGACACGTCATAGTTCGAGGATACGATGATCTGTGGCAAGCCGACTTCGTTGACATGCAGGCGTACTCACGTTTCAACAGAGGCTACTACTACATACTTACCGTCATCGATGTGTTGAGCAAGCACGCGTGGGCCGTGCCCCTCAAGACTAAAGGCGGAAGCGAGACGGCTGACGCTATCGCCGAGATAATTCGGGAGAGCGAAAGATGCCCGAAAAACCTACAAACTGATATGGGGAAGGAATTTTACAACACCTACGTGCAACGTCTTTTGAAGAAACAAAACATCAATCTCTATTCCACGTATTCCATAATGAAAGCGTCAGTCGTCGAGCGGTTCAATCGCACGTTGAAGAACGCCATGTGGAAGATGTTTACACTCAATGGAAGTTACAAGTGGACGGATTTATTGCCGCGACTCGTCACAGAGTACAACGCGCGCAAGCATCGCACCATCGGCATGCGGCCCGTCGACGTCACCCCCGCGGTTGCCGATAGGCTCCTGAAAACGGTGTACAGCCACGTAAAAATCGCCGGTCCGGCAAGGTTCAAAGTGGGTGACGCGGTACGCGTTAGCAGATACAAGACGATATTCGAGAAGGGTTATACGCCAAATTGGACCACCGAGGTGTTTAAGATCGTTACAGTACAACGCACCAATCCCGTAACGTATCTACTCGAGGATTATTGCGGAGAACTCGTCGCAGGGGCGTTCTACGAGTACGAGTTGCATCGCGCCACTAACCCAGATGTGTATCTTGTGGAAAAGGTACTGCGCAGGAAGGGTGACAAGGTTTATGTGAAATGGTTGGGATTCGATGGATCGCACAATTCATGGATAGACAAGAACAATGTGGTTTAATTCGTTTCAATAACATTTATTCTATTAAACATGTATATCATATGTACACAATTGCATCATTTATATGTGAATAAACATATACTTGTAATAAAAGAAAATAGACTTATTATTATCCTATAATGTACAATACTATGAATATATATACTATAAAGGTATTCGGTAGTGTCCCCATGGCAGCGTTTCTGTAGAATCGGGCACGATGTATCGTTTGTCGTCGTACGGACTCAGAGCGATTTTCGTCTCGGCTATAGTGTACACCTCATGTAGTTTTAATCTTATACAAGTTTGTCGGCGAGTCATTTCTATCTCGTCTCGCAGACAATGCGTGTAATCGTCAAAAGTTATTGTTCGCGCTACCACGTTGCTTTTGACACCTTTAGCCTTCTTCGTGTCGCTTTTACCGTCTGCCCTCAACGCGTACATCTTCGCTCTGAGTCCGACGAATTCGGTCATGATTGCGCCATTATTCTCATCTTTCATGAAACCGGGGACTTTCTTATTTACTAGCGGTATACCATATGTGTTATCTACAGGATAATCGCTCATGTCGAATCGTATATGTATACCGCGTTTCATCGTCTCGTATAAATCCTCGCACTTGATGTGGTATACGAGACTGTCGGTATCCGTATACATGATTTTACATTGCTCGCGATACATCGGTAACATATATTCATGATGAAATTCATACAAGCAGATCTTGGATATGTCGAGGATGCACATACCCACGTAGATTGGCTTGTTGAATTTCACTTCGAGTTTTCGCAACTCCACGGCGATTAAATTTTCTGAAAAAATGCTGCGGCTATGAAAATTCGGTTTCGAGATCATCGCCTCCGCACCATGGCGACCATCCTACTTTGTTATAAGTTTAACGTCGACATGATTCCGCACGTTTCCATTGTTTTACCGAATACCGCGTTGTTCATTAATTTGTATAAATTTTTTTCAAAATCGTTTTTGACTAACGTTCTAAATTGTGTGTTGAGTTCAATATATTTGCGTAGCCATGGAGATTGCGAGAACTCCAATATGTGATGTATTTTTGTCACGCGAAACCCATGACGCGTGCACTGTTGCAGGTTGTGGTAGTGTATGACGTAACGCTTCTTATCATACACAGTCGCAAGTAACTTTTCCTGTCGCTTGCTTGGCGGCTTATCGCGCGTCGGACAGAACGGTAGGTCAGTGTGCTCGTCGTGTATACTTTGTGGGTATTCGAGATCGACCTCGAGAATGTAGCCTGTCGATGAGTCCACAGCGATCGCATTTACATTAAAATCAGTAACGTTAGTGACCCATCGAAAATTTGCATATGGTAGTGGTTGACACATCGCCCACCCGTACAAATTATTGACATCAAAGTACATCAAGTATGAGGAAGCTTTCGATGGATCGTAAGACTGCATGTACTTGTTATTGGCTCGAGCATATCTACCGGAACATTGGCTGAGACCACCGCGTATGCCGCGTTCCACAAACATGACCATATCAATGTCCGTGAGCAGCTCGAAATTTACGCGCGTGTGTTTCAGCATGGCATCCAACGTGAATCCTGGTAATGTATAATAATACGCGGGATCTAATCTGTAACTGTTGATGCTACTATTGCGAAAATTTTCAAAAATGTCGGCCAATAACAAGACATCGGTTTTCAAATATAAATCGCTGTAGTCGCCTAGGGTTTGGATGGAGAACCGTTTCCAGACATTCAAAGCATGCATGTAATCGCTCTCTGATACGGTGTCACCGATCAGAGAACTGAAAAATAACTCGCGCGGAGGTAGACGCGGGTCCTGCAGCTTGTCCGCGCAATCCACATATTCATATGGAAACACACCTTTACGCGTCAATAGATCGAAATCATCGCTGGATAATGTTGAAAATTCAGATCGTACAATTTTTAATTTGTCTCTATGGAGAAACGATGCCAATCTATCGAGGCTGGTACTCAGAAATTTGTATGAGTCAATAAATCGCAGCTTTATACAATTTTGTCGCTTTGAGTTTTCTATGGTATTTTTTACATTTTTTGTAAAGGACATGTATGTTTCCTTCGTTATCGGTAATACATCAACTGTGCCCTCGAACGCTGTAGCGATTTCTTTAATTATGAAATGTGCGTCATAGCCGGATAAATTATGAAAAACGATTGGAATGAAATACGCATCTTTGTAATTTAAGTTACAATTAGAATGCGCGGGGCCTCTATATCGTCCGGTTAGATGGCAATGGTCGCGTACTCTATCGTCACCCTGTGCGAACGGTTTCTCGCATATGTGACAGTGCGTGGTACTACGGAATTTCTCATACTGTTCTTTAGAAAGTGTTTGCATGGGAACATTACTCGACAGAATATTCTGTACACGATATGCCAATTCTTCTAGTTGGTTGGCGAACCACGTGATGCAATCAATGTGGCGGTGGAAACGGTACGTTGACAGCGAGTCGTCATACGAGCAGTGGACGTAGTACGCAATGCTAAATACCTGGTGGTGCTGGTATGCTTTGGTATCGGTATCAGTCTTTATCAAGATGCACTCAAGGTCCGCGTACACTACAAACGGCACGCGTTCCTTCCTGCTGTGGTTGTTGAAGCTGAGCCACTTGTCCTTCTCGCTGGGTAATACGATCGCGCAGTCATTTATCTGTTGACAGTCCACACCGTGCGATTGCAAGCTTTCCTTTGAATGGAAATAATGCATGCATCTGAAAAAAAATATTTGAAAAACATTTATATATATTTTTTATAAAATAAAACAATTTTTCATAAATTTTATTGATACTCACCGATCGCAAATGTACTTTTTGTGTCCATTTTTGTTGAGTTGAGAACTGACGAGGCGGGACAAGTTTTTTATCCAGACGAAGTGGCCCACTTCAGCACCTCCCTGATCTTGCAGGTATAATAGGTTCACATGCTTCTCCTTCTTCTCGTCAGCAACTCGTAGCGGTACGATTGCGCGTTCATAATTGTTCTTTTCATCGATGCTGTACACGTTGATGGAAATACTGTTCAACCGTTCAAACTTTTTAATACCACTTAATGTCATTGGCATTGGAACGTCTCGCAGGTTTAACACATCGCTGTAATGCGGATACGACTATTTACGATCCGCGTTTCTTTCAGCCGGATAGAGAGCGGCGACCACCGACCACGCAAAACACGCATTGTCCTTTGATCGTACATTGATCACTGCTTTCTTCCGTTTCACCACTTCTGGCATGTCTATATGGCATCCCGCGCGCATAGGATTGCACTTGTTGACGTTAATAGTTACGTTGTGTATACGCGACAGCGCCCACCCTCTATCACGCTCCTGGAATTCTTCGAGTTCGGTTAGAATCGGACCGATTACGCGCGACTCGTACCACTCGTGCAAATCTGTTGTATGGAACAGTTCATAGTTTTTTGTATTTATGCTTTTATTTGCACGTTTATCACCCGCCACAAACTCCCCGTTGAACACGGTATTCACCTTTACACAATTATAGCGCTCGATAGCGTCTCGCACGTGCTCGACCACTACATCGCGAGCGTCTTCGAGAAATTTCCGCGGCTCGATGTACTCCACGTTAATCACCACACCGGTAAGCACGCGACTGTCAAACGCGGTGTCGATCTCGCGCCACGACAGTTGCGCTCTCGAAGAAGGTCCGACACTCGCGTAATCATCGCCACCACCACCACCGAAATGTACGAATCGTCGTTCCAGTTGTTTTTTTACTCCCTCGAGTCGCGCGATTTGCGCCACCAGAGATTGTCTATTGCCGATGGACAGCCTTGGACGCTTGGCACGGCTACGTTCTTCGAGTTTCGCGATGCACTCGTCGTATTGCAGAATCCACGCGAAATAGTCGCCCATGGTAGCAACCTCGTCGACTCGCGCCACCAGATCTTGATCCATGTTGTCGCACATATTTCCCAAGTCACTCTTTTCACATTCGTTGAAACTGATTCACTCGACTGATGGATGTTTAATATTGAATATTTCCCAAGTCACTCTTTTCACATTCGTTGAAACTGATTCACTCGACTGACGGACTTTGAAATGTGGAACTACGAGGTACGTCCAGAAAGTAAGGTTACAAGGGTTCTGTAGGACGTAGGGAATTTTTTTTCCCAAAGTTAGCACATCTGGCGGGTAGAGCAATTCCTAACGAACAAAACAAGCGGTCCGGCCCTTCAGTACGTTGCGAAATGTCGTCACAACAACCAAAACCGTCAATGAGTTCGTCAGCCGTTTGCTCCACCTACCGACAGTGTGAGATTCGCCGCAGTCATCCGCTTCTTCACTTTGCGTCATGGATCCGCGGACAACATCCATCGACAGCTTGTGGAAATCTATGGACCGGAGGTATGTCTCGTCAACATGTTACCAAGTGGGTCCGAATGTTTAAGGAAGGCCGAACTGACATCTTCGACGAAGAAAGGAGTGGGAGACCGTCCGTCATTTCAGACGAGCTTGTGCAGAAGATTGATGAAAAAGTTCGCACAGATCGTCGTGTGACCCTTGTCCTTACTGAAAATTTCCCTGACATTTCACGAAGTCTCCTGGGTGAAATCGTTTCAGAAAGACTCGGCTACTGACAAACGGTCTCCCACTCCTTTCTTCGTCGAAAATGTCAGTTCGGCCTTCCTTAAACATTCGGACCCACTTGGTAACATGTTGACGAGACATTACCTCCGGTCCATAGGTTTCCACAAGCTGTCGATGGATGTTCGCCGCGGTATCATGACGCAAAGTGAGGAAGCGGATGACTGCAGCGAATCTCACACTGTCGGTAGGTGGAGCAAACGGCCGACGAACTCGTTGACGGTTTTGGTTGTTGTGACGATATTTCGCAACGTACTGAAGGGCCGGACCGCTTGTTTTGTTCGTTAGGTATTACTTTACACGCCAGATGTGCTAACTTTGGGAAAAAAATTCCCTACGTCCTACAGAGCCCTTGTAACCTTACTTTCTGGACGTACCTCGTATAAGCTAACCTATAATATATACTTCTTACCCCCTCTTTGTCTTTTCGACCAGATCTTCGATTTTGAACGTGTCTGCGCACAAAATATTATCTTTATGACCCTTGACCATGTTTTCTCTTTTGAAATGTGGGATTATAAGCTTACCCCCTCTTTGCCTTTTTCGACCCAGATCTTCAATTTGAACGTTCTTTTGAAATGTGGGATTATAAGCTTAGCTAAAAGGATTTAAAATCTATCCACGCATCAAGACGAACCGTAATATTTCGCCTGCTCTCGACGTGTTCAAACGAGTCTCGACGTGTCCAAACATGTCTCGACATACCAACGTTTGTGGACCTGCAAGGTTTTATCGTTGGCAGAAACTTTTATGTAAAAGAATTTGCCTCTCTCAGAGAAGGATGTGTTCTCTCTCACTACATTTTCGCGTGCCCCGTACCATGGAAATGCCTCACCAAAGCGGAGCAACACCAAGTATCCTGGTTGATTTCAAATCGTCACGGAGTACGATGGGAAGGCGGTGCGATTCCATACAGCAGAGCTAGAAGTTTGATTACAACAGCCGTGGTTGGTACAGAGGAGAAGGAGGATGATAATGACGACAGCGATGACGAGACGAGATTTTCTCTCGTATATGTTAAGGGACTTGAAAAACGAGAATGGCTGCGGAGGTTACTCCTGGACGATGCGCGAGACAATGTTTATATCGAAACTATCGACGCGCACTACGAAGACATACAATCTCTAAATAAGTTGGACGTTGCGCACACTGTGCGTTGCCATAGACATGAAGCGAATTATGCTTTACAAAATGTTTTTAAACTTTACAATTGGTGGTCCATGCATGAGAAATAAATATGTAACAACTTGTGTTTTTTTACAAAATAAATATATTTCTATCAATATTGCATTAATGTCTTTTTCCACACGTATCCTATACTTCTTTCAGTTTGCGCACTCTCCCTTCCACAGCATATTTTTAAATTTATTCATATCTCGATCTTATATGTATGGGTAGGAAGCAGAAGACAAAAATGTTAGTGGATGAAAATTTTATTTATTATACAATTATTAATTTTTTTCGTTCATCAACTCGTTTTAAGGTTTCAGCAATAAGTTCATCTACAGCATAAACTATTAATACACAATCTATGACAGAAGTTTTATCATATACCTCGTACAGTATACCAATTGCATCATCTCTCTCGGTACTGGTCATATTACTTTGCAAACAACACACAAACTGATCGAAGCTTTCATTTACAGCTTCTATATCCTCCGACAGTTTGCGATATACATGCTCTACACAATGTTCGAGATTGAGTAAAAATAATACAGTTGACATGTTCATGTACATGCAAGTGTCATCTAATGTGAATTTTACAACTTTTTTATTGTACATTCTAACATTTCTAACAAGTTCTTAAACTAAATTGTCAATCTGTACCGATGATGCGTCTGTTGAATTGAAGAGCTGCTCTATTTCGGCACGTTTCTTGTTAAATTCCATCCACGTTGAATGATTTAACGCCATCTTATTTCCACGATTGTCGCCGAGAATGAATTCCACATAGGATGTATCAGGTACCACGCAGATTCCAACATCCAAGTATTTGTACGCGGTAGATGTCAGGGCGAATCTCCTGCTCATGATACGAGGCGTGTAACGAGGTTTATCAGAACTGAAAGAATACATAAAGTAAAATAAATACAAGTAAATCAGGAAAAGTATGAACAAATATACAATAATTTTAGGGTGCTTACGCATCATGCTGTTTCTTGCACGAGACAGTTTCTTGTCGAGAAACGGATGGCGTATAACTGCTTCGAGGAACATACGGCATGTAACGCCGATTGCTAAAACTGTTTGAAAAATACAATTAAATGTTGAAAAATGTATGCAATATATTGTGACGTGGCGGATTAGCTGCCGCGTGCCAGCTCCCCGCTGCCGTCCCAAGGCGCGGTGTCGGTCCGCCCGGGGAAAAGAGGATCCGCGCGAGGCCGTAGGGAAACCTCCCGGGGTCGCAACTACACGTTTTTTCTTTGCTTGTCCGCTTACCCGAGAATTTTTATTTTTTGTATCGCGCCCGTCGAGCGCCACCGAGCAGTGATGCCAGCTTGGACTACCAGCTACATCGCTGTCGCGATGGTGGGGATAGAGTGGGGATAGCACGTCTGCGCGCGCATGCACGCACACAGGCAACACGCCGCATATACTCACGCTCGGCCCGAGCGTCGAGCGCACACGTTTTTACGACGTGTTGCTTGTGTGCGAGCGTGCGCGCGCAGACGGACTATCCCCTCTCCAACCCCCACCATCGCTTCAGCATACGGGTAAACGTTCCCGAACGGCATCACTGGTCCAAGCTGGCATCACTGCCTCCAAGGATCCCGAAGTCTCCCTCGGCGTCGAGAAATACTTACTCTCCCAAAAACCAATCATACAAACACATATATTAGCTGTACAAAAAGAAGAATAAACCTTCTAATTAATTTGCCATCGGCATTAAAAGAAAAAGAGTCGAAAAGTTAATTTCCTCCCTTGCGATCCATATCCTTGGGCGTTCCTAAACATAGAGTTTAAGCGAAGTAAGCCCCATATAGAGAAAACAAGTTGATGCAATACAACCTAATATTATTGATGAATCATGGCAGAAACTTTGTAAAAAAACTAATGCTTCTGGGGGACCAGTAAAATCAACCTAAGAGTGGAAAAGGGTAAATTTTAATAATAAACTAGTTTATACTTTGCAACATAATATTAGTAAACTCGACTATCATATAATTTGTAATTTTTATACACGATCACATGTGTACCGTAATAACAGTGTAGTCTTAATATTGTAGGTTATACAATATCTTATAATGACTTTGCTCATTTAACAACACCTCTCTGGCTGTTGTTAAGTTTACGACAATTTTGACGCCATTTTGTCATTAATTAACAACAGTCATTACTTATAGAATAAGAAAAGTCATTCGTTAACGACAATTGTTTTATAACAACATCGTTAAGGGGATGCTAAAGCCGCTGGCGAACTCGATTAGTGTCGATAAGATAGGAGATCGCGTTAATTATCGATTTTTTTTATTTCCAAGTTCTACGTTAGATGTCGCTTCTGACCGGTTTTCGGCAGCAGTAAAGAAAAAGTTGGAGGGCAGACCTCCGATCATGCATCCTTAGCGCGAGCTGAATGATAGAGAGAGAAAACATTACAACGGCTAATCCAGAGAGTGCGAGTGAGATAGCTATAAAACATCGCGCTATTTCTCATCGCTCTAACCCAGACAGCACCCAATATTTATAATAAATATTCATAAATATTTCTTTATATTTATTTTTTAAAATATTATATAAATGTTTTATATATATTTTATATACACGAAAGAAAAAAGAAATAAAATATTTATTTAATATACGAGGTGTGGCAATTAAGTTCCGGGAATTTGTCAATAAAACACAAGCAAATTAAGTTACAAGCAAAATTTTATTATCGACTTTCGCAATATATTGCCACACCTCGTATTACTAAAATATAGACTAAATATTTTATACAATCCGCTAAACTGTCATTAAAACATCTTTTTTCCTAAATAAGTTTTATTCCGTTATAAAAAATTTAATACTAAATTTTCTATTATTAATAATTTTCTATTATTAAAAATTAATAATATATTCTCTATTATTAAAAATTTTCTATTATTAATTAATATATATTTTGTTAATGGACTGTTTGGCGGATAAATATATTTCTGAAATGGGAATTCTCTTCTGAAGCGTCAGACGCAATGATCGCCGACTCGGTCGTTGAGTCTCGAACGGTAGTGGATATATAAGTTGCTTTCCTTTTACATGAAAACTCAAATAAATCTCACTTGGGACGTTATAACTCAGTTGAATGCATGTTCCTTTTGATTCTTGAGAAGTGAGATTCAACCAGATT